GGGAATCTATGTTATTAATCTATTAATCCGATTTCCAAAAAAATATTCAATGTTTTCAACATTTAATACACGTCTAACTGTGTAAGCTCAGTAGCCTCTTCGAAGACGCATTTCTTGTATGATCATGGCATGCGTAAAATAGTTAACATATATATAAAAAAAAAAACAATTCACTAATTACAAATAAGGAAAAAGAAATGAAATTTTGAATTAAAATTGTAATTGAACATTTTTCAACATCATATGATTTGCATTTTGTAAAGATTTCCATTCAAAATATATGGAAAAAAAATTGAATGCATCAAAATTCACGTCGTTAAAAATTATCTTAAGTTAATCCTTAATTGAAGCAATCTTTGCTTTCAAAACTTTAATTTGATATATGTGTCCGATCTAGATAAAAAAAATATCATTTATATTTAGAAACTTGCATAGAAACCCGATGTTTTAAACCTACTCTTAATTTTTTCATTATACGGCCAGCATCTGTTAGAATTACTTCTAAATAACGTGACTTAGGTGATCGATATTGAAAAAGGAATATCAGAATCATAACTAAGAAGAATTAGAATTTTAAAAATCTTATTTTAAGTGATTTTATCGATGAACGAAAACGACTTTATAAAGAACCATCCTTTCAGAATTTTTATCAGATTTTTTTGTAAAAAGAGATTATCACCACATTCCTTTAAGACACTTTAACAAATTTGTTGCCCTTCTGACCGAGAGAAAGAAGTCTTTAAAGAAGAATTGTGAAGCTAAAATTACATCAGAACTTGTTTGGTTTTTAAATGAAGTAAAGTTGGACTAACTTAAATTTTACATGAGTTTTTCTTTTTTTTTTTTTTTTTGAAAATATCATTTATGGAAAAAATATTCGAAAAATAAAAATACATCTAAATTGTCAAAAAGGAAAAAGAAAAAGGACTTTAATGATAACACTCTCGATAATTTAGCACGAAAGTATAGATTATTATTTAAAAATATTTATTGGCACAAATAAAGGACTTTCATCATATACATGTAACATGAATCTTTAAAAAATGGGTTGACCTAACCATTGAAATATATATCTGAATTACAGACAGACGTTGAAACTAATAAATTCATTTGATAGATTTGTTCTTTATATCCTTATTTTTTTTTAATAAATAGAGAATTAAATAAAGGAAAACTTCTTTTAGGCTTGGAACCAGAACACAAAATGGTGCACTCCGGTCAGACATAATTAGATGTTTGCTCAGATGTTAAACTCTCATTAATGCTGCTTAATTTGTGTAACTTTTAAAAGTTAAAATTGAATATAAATAAATGTTTTAAACTTCAAAATTTTTTTTTACTTATTTGTCTTTCAGATTTTTAAAATCATTTTTTTTCTTGGTAACGCTACGTTTTTTTCTGTTGCAATCCTGGCATGGTATAACATTTTTTTTCAACGTTTGTCATAACTACAACTTGATCAAACAAAAATTGCCACAGTCTACATGTAGAGCTCAATACGTTGAATATGGCCAGGAAGGTCTTTTTTTCCACCAAAATCATTATTATTTATCTCAAAGATCTTTAAAAAATATATTGAATTTTAACGTCACAAAAAGTGGTATACAGCTGGAAGTGAAGCATCATTTTTGGGCATAACTTTTTTGTGAATGGAGATATCAATGCCATATTTGGAACTTATTTAGACTTTATCTAAAATATGTTGAAAAATGGAAACCTATTCCCGTTCACTGTATTTTGATGCAGGTTTACAATATGGATTTGGTGATTTTTTAAATTTACATATCTAGGGATCAACTCCCTACTCTCCTGCTTAAGAGTTAAAATATAATGTTTTAACCTTTTCGCAACGCATGTTATCTTTCAAAGAAATAAGAATAAAATGCAATATATACATATATAAAACATTAATAAAGTTATAAATACATTGCAAAATTGCCAAAATAACTTGTATTATGACAAGATCCAGAATGTTTATTGCAAGACGAGCAATTGCATTTCTCAAGGCAGAATCTTCCATAAAGCCCATCAGGACAAGTGGTATTACAGTTTACTCCAAAGGTTCCAAGAAAGCATTCTAATACAAATAATATAAAAAGTTGTCATAAGAACATGCATGATCAGTTAACGTCCTATTTCAGACATTATTCATATAAAAATTCAAACTTCAATGTGTTTCATTTCTGACAACACTTTTTTTTCCACCTTCACATTGATTTCCATTTTTTCTTTAATTAGTACAACACGTCAACGGATTCCTAGTATGCAGAAGAAAACCACGTATTTATTTTGTAACAAATACTAATTGCTTACGTTACTTAAATTCAATTACACAAAATATAGTTTGCAAAATAATGCTTATGATATAAAACTCACAATTTACAAACTCCTGCAGTATATGTTGTTTGAGTGTTTGATAATTTGATCAGAATATACACCAGTAAAACACGCTTTAATCCAAAATACATTATGTTTATCAATCGATAATCTTCAATCCAATAGAATTTCAAAACTATAGCTTACAATAAATGCAAAAAAATAAAATATAAGCACATATCTTCCTGCTGTTTAATATGTATTTTTTATCAAGGAAATATCTCAGCATTTTTTAGAGCTTCCTCTCATGTGAATTCACATGTAGCTCGTATGCAAAAATAATACCTCATGAATTCCTATGCATAGTGTATTTTCTATGAATATGTCCGTTAGCCGAGTCATGATTAAAAACAAACGGAATGTAGATCCAATTGACAGAGAGTGCTTTATATTCCATGGCACCTGATTTTATATCTGGTGTATTTTAGGTATGTATTTGCTCTGTTCCAGTATACTTTATGACTGGATTACTGTTCTTTATTTATATATTTCATGAATGGTACAATACGTCAAATCTTAATTTGAAAGTGCATCGACGATTACCAAATAAGGACAAACATCGTTCATTCTTTTAGAAATACGAATTGACTAACCACACGCATTTATAGATAGCAGACCGATATTTTGTATTATACATTTCACTTTTGATAAAAGCTTTTGCACTCTCCCAAAGAGAAAAAAATTAATCTTTTGCAATGATGGAAATAATTTATGACAAAATATCATTTTAGAAGTAGAAAAAAATCTATTATGGAAATGACTTTCATAGGAAACTCAAAATATCTAAGGCTGCATAATGTAGGAAATAATGAAAATCTAATTCCTTGAAAAGCATGTCCTTAGCTTAGCAATTCAAAAATCATATTTACACATGTATATCATTGAAACTTTATCCGGTCAAGGCCTTAACGTCAAGTTCATGTTTAAAAAAAAAATCTGTGAATATTGCCTTAACAATACTAGTCCCCTGTTGGCAAGTTTAATTTGTTTCTATTAAAAAAAGAAAATGTCATAATTCTATAAATAAATAATTTAAGCGTAAGAAAATGCAAGTTTGGTCTGTAACTCATCAAGATACACCCACGTACTTAAAATCAGTCCAATATCTGCAATCGTTTAGAAAAAGGTGCGTTAAACGAAGTGGGGCTGATTCTTGGTATTTCAGTATATTTTGATGCGTAACAGATTATAATAAAATACGTACTTTTCCGCTCCAATGATATATTTGAGGTATCTTCGGTCTTTTTTGTTTTTTTGTTTTTAATTATTTCCTGAAAGTTTGCAGATATTGTTGAGAAGGTTTTTGGATGTGCATGCACCTTCATGACATACATATTATGTTATGATTTCATCCCACTTTGTTGATTTTTTGAGGGACTTTCGGCCTTTTTAAATTTTTAGGGGTTAAAAATTTCTGTACCTTTTTCTAAATGCTTGCAGAGGTATACTGAGCTGATTTTTGGTATGAGAGCTGATCTTGCAGTGTTATAGATCAAGTTTGCATTATGTTCCACTAAAATATTTTTTTGACAGAATCAATGATTTTCAATTTTTCATGGGAGTCAAACCACACTTGCCGGTTGTTGACGTACACATGCATTGCTGCAGAAATACTTTAATAATGCTTGTTTAATATTTTTTTGTGAAAATGTTATATCTGAATACTTTCTAAGAAAAATAAAACTATGGCACAGGTAAATAAATGTAGCTTGCTTAGAGCAGTGATAAGAGCCTTTGAGTCTCTATGTAAAGACTTTATCCTTAAGTCGGGAGTTCGAATTCCAGTGCAGGACCTGAAAAATAGGCCTTTGTACCCGTATTGCAGTTGGTGTTGGCAAGATTAAATATCTCAAAGCTTTTTGGCCCTGAGTGCAGATTATAGGTCTAAATATGTAGCCTTCCATCGTCTAGCTGAAGATCTGTAGCGTTATGGTTTAATATATTTTGTCTTTGACCATAACGTTATGGTCAAAGACAAATATATAAAACCATAATTTACAGATCTGCAGCTATCCATCGTCAAGATGTGGCTTCTCCATATGCATGAAAAAAATTCTCAAGAGTTACATTAAAACAACAAACAAGCATAACTAGCTACATACATAAATAACACATTTAGATTTAAAATAAAATATAAGCAAATATACCAAGGAGATGTATCGTTAACTTCAAACTATATTGAAAAAACGATTTGTACATATTCAACATTAGAGCAGGATACGGTACTAAGTGCACTAAAGTCTATATTACAGAAATAAGCAGCGGAAAGTGCAGGCATTCAATATTAGCTGCAAATTAATACTTTCAAAGAATTAAAAAAAGTGAAAACCTTTACAAAGGAAACAGTTTTCGCAACATTTATGCATGGTAGTGGTGTTCTCAATATTGATAAGATACTTCTTTTATATTTAATTTTCATAAGGGGTAGTGTTTGTTTTATAATTTGAGAAAGAATCTCAAGAAAATCAAAATTTTGCAAAGATCAATTACCTCAATTTGATTATATCTTTTAGTCAAGCAATATTTCACTTCGAAAAAGATGGACATTTAATATCTAGTTAGTGTCACTAAATGTAAATAATTTTAAGATTAATCACTGAGTGATACAACCAAACTATGAAGACAGTTCTAGACATTCCGAATATTTCTACAGCTGTCTTGCTTACAATCAGTCTGATTCTTCTCTGAAGTTTTCTGCAAAGCATCATACGTATCTCGTTCAAAAGTATGTCGTTCTTGAATGTTTGCAGAGTGGAAATAAATATTTGGATTGCTCCCTTTAGAGCTGAAATTAAAATATATTTACATTACTGGGTTTATTAGATATAGTTTTAGTGTTTCAATAACTTTATGAAAAAAATACATGTTCATGTAACTAAAACTTTTTTAAATCAAATATGTTGAATAGGTCATTCTCTTACTACAGAAGCAATTTCTGAACATCATCTAATCACAAAATAGGTAAGAGAATTAAGTGTTAATCATTGCTGATTTTTGAGTTTTTCAAGATATTTATTGCAAGATTGATTTATATTAAAAGCAAAGCAAAATTCATTGTGAAATATTTAAAAAGGCATCGTTTACTCCTTTCTTTCGCATCAACATAATTATCATAGTTTGATATAGATTGCTTTAGTAAATTGATTCCTTTATATTATCGGAATAATTTTTTGGCGCAATATTTAAGTTTTATCATAGATTCAGTGAGACTTTGATTTGAATTTTTTTTGGGACATATTTTTGTAAAATTGAATGGAAAATAGGGTCTACCCCTATAACCTTTTCGAAATAAAAAAGAATCATTATAAAAAGGATCATGTGGAAAATATTTTCAATAAAATTAAACAGCACAGATGTCATATATACCAGTACGCCACATAAATGCAGAAAAACAATTCAGTTCAATTTTTACTTAGGTATTGCTTTAGTAAATTTAATTATCATTGCTTATTAAATGATTATATGTATTATGTTATATTTAAATCATAACTTGCCTCAGAGTATATAAAAATTTGATTTTTTGACTTTTGTATTATGAATACGTTTTGTATTATGAATACTTTTTGAAGTACCAAGTTCTTATTCTGTATTAAAATATGAAAGCACAAGTGGTGCTTCATGAAGTCAATGAAATAGTTTTTCATTTAAAATAAATTTGCTTTTAAAATATGACTTCATAATAAACGTGCGACTTTCCCAGAATATATCTTAATTTGAATTTTTGTAGTATAAAGTATTAATTGATATTCATAAAGGACAATGTATAGAACATGAAGCGGCAAAATATGGCCAAGAATTTTGATTTTAAAATCACAACCAATTAAATATGTGAATGTTTGTAAAATAAGAACTAAAAATAATTCTTGTTTCAAAAGAACACTAATTCTAATTTAAAATTTACACGGAGGGCACAAGAGGTTGTATGGGAAACACATTTCTTTTCCCTAATTTCCTCAAATTTGCTTACCTGGGATTTAAATACACAAGATGCATTTAATGCTAGTGCATGAAATATAAAAAAATCAATGGATTAGCAACAATGCGCTCAGTGATTTTTGAACCAAAGTATCCCGGAAAATCGATGAAATTTCCATACAAATTAGAAAATTATGAAATTGTCCTGTCTTCTGACCTTCCTGTGACCTCCGTGTATCCCATAACTTAGAACCATATATTTTCATTTTGTCAGGGTAAACATTAGGTTTTATTGATAACCGTTTGTTTCATTTTAAATCTACCACATATTTAGAGACAAAAAGGGGTCTTAGCAAACCTTCTTGTTCCTGGATGAATTAATTTTATTATTTTCATAAAATGTCCCAAAATATAATATTATTATTGCAATTAGAATAAAAAAGAAGAAGAAAGGAATCGTAAAAATCAAATTGATTTAAAAGTAAAATAAAGAAATTTTTCCTGCGTATTAAGTTAATGTACCATTTTTTCTGGATGATGCATCCAAAAACTAATCCTACAACAACCAGTCCGACAGCTACCGGAATAATCCACCAAAGCATGACATTTTTATCCGTTCTTGCAATGAAAGAAGTTGTGCTTACAGTATGTTCCTCTTATGAAATAAGAATTGAAAGGAAAAGATGTTAACTATTTGCATAAAAGGTTCTCTGGAAAATACATTTGTACGAAATTAGTGTCTGGTCTTTTTAACATACAGTGATTTTAATACTTTAAGTATGTTTGTATTAAGTCATATTCTTTTGGATATTGAAAACTTTAAATAAATTTTATTTCAATAAAGATGTTAATACAAATATGATGCACGACTTTATTTTGAATACGGTCAGCTATTTGTTGTTTTGAACATATTTTATTGACAATATATCAAAGGGATTGGACACAAGTTCCAAAAACTTAGATAGACCTTTCCCATTTAACTATTTAAATTTGAATCTGCCGTGTTTAAAGATTATTGTTACATATTCAAACGCAGGTATTGTTATAAAGCTTCTAAAGAAATTGAGTTTATGACGTAAGATCTGATCCGAATTTTATAGTACATAATATATAATCAAAATTTATCTCAAAAACCTGTTTTCAGGCAGGAACAGGAAATTCTATTGCAAGACGAGCATTTGCATTTCTTGAGGCAGAATCTTCCATAAAATCCATCGGGACAAATGACATTACAGTTTACTCCAAAAGTTCCATGAAAGCATTCTAATACGAATAATACATTGTTATTATTACATGAAACATATGGAGATAACAAACAGTGTTTAAGATCAAAAGTTAATAAAACAATTCAAAATAGGAGCAGAGCAAACACGGACCTCTGAAACATCAGAGATGGGATCAAGTGCCATGGAGAAGTGAGCAACCCCGTCGTGTGCCTTTTGTCATGATCGGAAAATAACATAAAAAATCCTTCGTCAATTCAGTGTATAAACAATGGACTGACAATTACATATGTAGTATGAAAAAAGTCAGTCAGCATTTGACTCAATAATAAATTGTATTTGCTGACGAGGTCATTGCATCGACCATAGAACTTATGAAATGATGACTTTAAACGAGACTGCTGATATTCTTGTTTCATCAACTTGTTTGTCAATAATTTACCTCGTTTAAGAAATTGTTCATACGTAGAGCATGCGTATCGAATCAACTGAGATATTCAAACTCCATATGCAGTTGATGAAGATAAAGTAAAATATCCAAGTATGAAACAGATGTGTCAGACTCTGTGGTATCTTTTTATCTCAAGCTCACCAGGATATATCGTATTGACATAAGAATGGGAATTACCATTGTTAATTGACAATACGTCGTCGATATATGTAAATGTTGAGTTGAAGGCCACAGCAAGTGTCTTCTTTTTTTTTTTTTTTTTTTTTGACGCATAAGATTTAGAGAGTCAACACGTTTATCATAGAGCTTGCTTGTTAGATCACCCATAACGTCTTTTTCAAGTAAACTACCCAAATCTTTCATTTTAATGATTTAAAATCAAATCAAATATCTCTGTCTTCAATAAAATAGTTATATTTATCTTATGAAAACGACTTTATCAACAAGTATTTAAAAACTTAAACGTCAAGTCTATTAATGTTTGAAAACAATGTTATTTTTACCTTCACAATGATTTCCATATCTCCTGTAGTTCGTGCAATACGTCAATGGGTTTCTAGAATGTAGAAGAAATTTTCGTTATTCTTTTTTAAAATAATACTTGAAGCCAATGACTCAAACGGTAATAAAGAGTGTTTAGAAAATAATGCTAAAAAAACTTACTGTTTACAAACTCCTACATGTTCGAGATTTGTACGTTGAGTATTTGATGATTTTTAAAAAAAAGAATATAGAGCAGTAAAATATACTTTGTTAATCCAAAATACATTATGTATTTTTAAATATTTATTGAATTATCAGATTGAATAAAATAAATGATAATGTACAATAAACAATTGAAAATACAATCAAATATCTTCCTTGTTTTTAAAAGGAATGCAGGAAATACTTCAGTATTCATGAGAACTTCCCACCCTGTCAATCCACCTGTGGCACAAAGGCACTCGCCGGGTGTAACCGGTCGACAGGGGATACTCAATCCTCCATTGCACGTTGTATTGCCTCATATTTTTCGAGCTCTGTGTTTGTTCTTCTCTCAATTTGTTTTGTTGAAATGAACTTTTGAGCTGTATCAGAGTTTTTTTAATCACAATAATTATGTATTGGACATTAGATAGATCATATGATCAATACGTACTGGTCCCTGCCGATAAAGCAGGTGACAACATTGTCTTCGTTTGTAAGGCTCAATAATTAATTTGTATTTTAGAAGAACTTTGATTTAATTCTACAAGTGGAAATCCTGCTTATACTCATACTTTCATTTCTAAGGAAGAAATTCTTTAAAATCATATGTGAGTTTTAAATATTTTTAATATTCCACAGAGCCAAAATGAATTTGAACTACCCTATATATATTTGAATCAGAAACTTCATAAAATTCCTTACAAGTAAAGATACATTGGGGTTCCAGCAAATGCTCAACTAAGCCTTTTTCGTTACTCCTCAAATATTGACAGTAGGGAAGGAAAAACTTCAAGATTACTGTTCAACAATATATTCAAGAAGTGTGAATCAGATGTGGATATTAAAAAATTCCAAAGAACTTTTGAACAATTTTGAATCACAAGATTTTAACAAAATCAACAGCTTAAAAACTAAGGACTTTTCGATTTTATAAACAACCATTTATCACGATAAATTAAAGTTCAGGCTTTTTTATATCATTAATAGCTGCTTTTTCAATAGAAATGGAACTCGTAAACGTACTTACCTGGTCATTGGTCATTTGCAAAATTATTTTGTTAAACACATTCTGATTGCACACACAAGTACACTGAAGTTGACATCAAAGAGATGCTTGAGTTCCTGATTGACAATATCTATGTGGTTTTTGGAAACCAAGTATTCCACCAATCTATTGGAATTCCCATGGGTACCGATTGCGCTCCGTTATTAGCAGACCTATTTTTATATTCGTATGAAGCAGAATTAAGATGTCCCCATTGTTTTCATTTCCATTTTATAATTGTTTTTTTCAAAAAAAAGTTTTGATTACGTACACAAGCATAATAAATGTATAGAAAAATAAATACTTGAATGTCATCTTTACATATTGTACTACTTATAAAAACATATCAAATAGTATCATGGATTGTTTAAAGGTAAAACAAAGTCACTACGAACAACAAATTAAAGTAGATCTAGATATTGACAAATGTTGAAAAACCAGAAGTGTATTAATTCCTTGTTAATAGGTTTAAATTTTTTATACAAATGTTCTTAATATAGATAAACTTTTATCAAAATACTTTCTCTAGAGGGAGCTCGAGAGAAACTGTACCACAGCAATTTATTTTTCTACTTTTTTGAAACCGTTCTCGATAACATTTGTTCTACTTTAAATTGAATTATTGCTTCATCTTCATTTTTCTTCTTTTAAATTTGTTCTACTTTCTTGGCATTTTTTTCCACATGCGACATTCTTTTCTTGCCTTTTTCTTTTGAAGACTTTTTATCTAGTCACAGAGTATAACATTAAAGGTCTTAATCGTTTGAAAATTCAGTGAAAAGTCTGGCTCAAAGGTTGCTATAGTGTTTAACAAAAGCCATAGTACCAAGCTAAAAGAACTTGCAAGATATCAAATCCATACCTCTTTTAATTCTTAGAAAATAAAGCGAGGTGAACGGACGGACGAACGTTTACACAGATGTCAACATATCTCTATACAGGTTATTTAATACCCATATATATATATATATATATATATATATATATATATATATATATATATATATATATATATATATATATATATATATATATATATATATATATATAATATGGCAATACAAATGCACATGCTTTACAATGTTGAGACATGTTATGAGGGCTTCAAGAAAATTATATCACGTAAAGGAGGATATTTGAAAAATAACAACTGCATTTTTCATAATTATAATAGATAGCAGTTCCAGGATAAATCTGCTTAAAGAGAATTAAGTAATGATAAAAAAGAGAAAATCATTTTGATTTCGGGAATGGAGAAATACATTGTACATCCAAAACAGTTTTCGATTAATTAATCTTAGTCTATATATACTTGTAAATGTTTAGATTATTTGGATATATCTTTAAATTACATGTGTATGTCAAACTGTTCAGAATTCTATTTTTTTCCTTTTTATGTAAAATACTGGGCACATGTAAGTCTAACTACACAAAAGTGCCCTTAAATTACGAGAGGCTAAATATTTCCTAATGAGGAATGTGTCACATTGTCAATACTTTTAGATGACTACATGCTCGTAAAAAAAACGATCTTCAAGTACATTGAAACAGTCTTTACTAGGAAATATGGAATAAATTTAATGTTTCAAATTAAAAAATATAAATTGATTATTAATTGCAATTCTTGAAATTTAAGTACAAAACTGTTATAATTATTTAAATGATTAAACTATAAGTGGCGAGAGTATTGAACATGGAAAATAATGAGGAAAATTCATATTTTTTGGTAACATGTTATTTTCAAGCCTGTAAGGATGAAACATATGGAGATAACAAACAGTATTCAAGATCAAAAGTCCATAAAACGATACAAAACAAAAACAGAGCAAACACAGACCTCCAAAACATTAGAGGTGGAATCAGGTGCCATGGTTCATACGATGCAGAATTTATTGATAAACATCTGCATGGAAAGACGTCTTTAGCTTTCAATGCCACACTTAGAAGCATTGACGACGTTTCAACAATCTAAATATTCATTTCCATTAACTATATATATTTGAAATCGTTCCAAAGTAGAAAAATAACAAATTAGAAAATGTGATTCATGACTGGAAATCAATTGACCAAAACTTCATTTAAAATTTATAAACGTATTAGTTTGTCATGCTTCTTTCT